TATAAGACATTTTATGTAAACTTTGACACCTATAAATACAAAACCTATAGCAGATACAGAAAACATAAAGAGAAAAGAGTCAAAATATATCACTACCAAAAAAATCACAAAAAAAGACAAGAGATGAAGAAAGGAAGAAAGGAAATACAAGAGTCAGAAACAATTAACAAAATGGCACTAGTAAGTCTTTACCTACCAATAATTACTTTAAAAGAAAATGGATTAAATTCTCCAATCAAAAGACATAGTGGCTGAATGGGTAATAAAAAATGATATTCAACTATGTGCTGTCTACAAGAGACTCACTTTAGCTGTAAGGATAAATATCTGAAAATGAAGGGATAGCAAAGTTATTCCATGCAAATGTTAACCAAAAGGGAGCAAGAGTGGCTATATTTGTATCAGACAAAATAGACTTTATGTCAAGAACTGCCACAAGAGATAGGAAAAGGTCATTATATAATGATAATTATGTCATATTTCAAGAGGATATAACCATTGTAAATATATATGAACCAAATATCAGAACTCTTAAGTATGTAAAACAAATATTAACAGAAATAAAGGGAGAAATAGACAGCAATAAAATAATAGTAGAGGATTTCAATACCTCACTCTTTTTTTGGTGGGGTTGGGGGGAAGTAATTCAGTTTATTTATTTATTTACTCTTAGAGGAAGTACTGGGGATTGAACCCAGGGCCTCATGCATGCTAAGCATGCTCTCTACCATTTGAGCTCTACCTTCCCCCTCTTAATACCTCACTTTCAACAATGCATAGATATCCAGACAGAAATCAGTAAGGATAAAGCTGACTTGAGCAACAGTATAGATCAATAGACATATACATAACATTGCATCCAACAGCAGGTGAATACACATTTTTTCAAGCACATGTGACATACTGCATTAACAGAATGAAGAATAAAAATCATATGATCATTTCAATGGATCCCCCAAAAAATTTGACAAAATTCAATATTCTATCATGGTAAAAACTTTCAACAAAATGGGTATAGGAGGAATAAAACTCAACATAATAAAGGCCACATATGCAAACCCACAGCTTACATCATACTCACAGGTGGAAAACTGAAAACTTTTCCTTTAAGATCAGGAACAAAGATGTTCATTTTCTTCACGTCTATTCAGTGTAGTGCTTGTAGTCCTAACCAGAGCAATTAGCCAAGAAAAAGAAATAAACAACATCTAAAGCAAAATGAAAGAAGTAAAATTGTCTCTGTGGATGGATGATGTGATTTTATACATAGAAAACCCTAAAGATTCCACCGAGAGACTATTAGAACTAATAAGTGAATTCAGTAAAGTATAAGGTATAAAAGTAAAATACAAAATACAATTGTTTTTCTATATACTAACAATGAAATATCCAGAAAAGAAATTAAGAAAACCATTCCATTCACAATAGCATAAAAAAACTTAGGAATAACTTTAGCCAAGGAGTTAAAGACTTGTGCACTGAAACCTAGAAGACACTGAGGAAACATAATGAAGAAAACACAAATAAATGGGATTCTGCGTTCGTGTTTGGACAAACTAATATTGTTAAAATGTCCATACTGCCCATAGCTACCTACAGATTCAATACAGTCTCTATCAAAATTCCAATGACATTTTTTCATAGAAATAGAAAAAGCAATTTTAAAATTCATAGGGAACCACAAGAGACCCCCCAATGGGCAAAGCAATCAGCAAAATTGAAGGCATCACAATTTCTGATTTAAAATATACTACAAGGCTGTGGTAACCAAAACAGTATAGTAATGGCATAAAAATAGACATATAGACCAATGAAACAGAATAATGAGCCCAGAAAAAAATACACATATTGATGGTCAATTGATCTTTCACAAAGGTGCCAAGAATACACAATGGGGAAAGAATAATCTTTTCAATACATTTTATTGGGAAAAACAGATATCCATATGCAGAAGAAATTAGACCCTTATTTAACACTATATACAAAGATCAACTCACAATGGATTGAAGACTTAAATGTAAGACCTATAGCTCTAAAACTACTAGAAGGAAATATGGGGAATAAGCTACTTGTCATTTGTATGGGCAGTGATTTTTGGATTTAACCCCAAAAATACAACCAACAAAAACAAAATAGACAAACATGATTGCATCATACTAAACAACTTCTGCACAGCAAAGGAAACAATCGGGTGAGTAAAGAAACAACCTACAGAATAGGAGAAGATATTTGCAAATCATATATCTGATAATATCCAAAATACATAAGGAACTCATACAGATCAATAATAAGAAAAGAAATAACCCAATTTTTAAAAGATCAAATGACCTAAACAGACATTTCTCACAACAA